CACCCTACAGCAAAAGGCTAAAACTGGGGGCGGGGGTGGGGGTGGGAGGAAGGGAGAAGCAATTATATGGAGTGCCAATCTAAACTTACGTACTAGTCAGCAATGTTCTCTTAGAGGTGTATCAGGCAATTAATTAGTAAAAATACCATATTTTTGAATTTTGTAAAATGTGTGGTATTAGCTTTTCATCATTTGTGGTCTCTTCTAAATAAATATCACTAACTGAAGTTCTTCCTCCATCACCTTTTGTTGTTGTTGTTGTTTTTTAAAGTATATTTATTCCACGAGTGAGACAAAGAAAGAAAAAAATAGAGACAGAGTAACCCAACAGGGTCATTTTTTTTTTTTTTTGAGAGGTTTATGCTATAGGGCGTGTGCGCTTGCCAGACAGAAAGACAGAAAGTGAGAAATCCCCCCCCAGGGGGGATGGCCATGCCGCAATCCCTTCTCCTCCATCCTCCCCTCGGGATCTTGGGCACGCATGCACACACGCCTGGCGTGAGTTTTAAGCCACCAGGTCCGGGACACGAACCGCGGTCGACTACGTGGGAGTCCAGCGACATAGCCATTACGCTAACTTCTGGTCCCCCCAATAGGGTCTTGATGCTACAATCTACACTGGACTCTGCCCGCTGGGATCAGGGGCACATGCATGCCTGACATACTCAGGTAGGTCTCCAGCCACAAAGTGGCAAACTTACTATGTGAGTCTACCTCACATAGCACTGAGTTTTACCCCTGCACTATAGTCTGGCTCCTCCATTGTCTTTTAGACATATGTACCTATTTTCAAAAGCCTTGGCAAAATACAAGAAGAAAAAAAGAAGAGTAATATAAAGCATCTTTAAAAGTGCATAGAATAAACAAATTGTGAAAAACTCCATGAATTTCAAAAAATCTTTGCACCAAAATAAACTCACTTTAATTCTACTTTACATCAAACTTTAAGTCTCCTTGTTTAAGTCCAACAATTTGGCAGTAAAAAAAGAAATCCTGTTTCCTCATGAACATACTCAAAAGAAATTTGGTTGTTTTTTTAAAAGGCAAAAATTGGGGCCAGCAGGTGGCGTGGTGGTTAAGGGTGCTAAAATTCCACATAGTTCACCACAGTTTGAGTCCTGGTCCTGGCAACTTGCTTTCTCACTTTCCCTCTCTTTCTCTCTCTCCGATAAAACTGGAAAATAATAATAATAATAATAATAAATAAAGTTAAATAAAATAATTCTTTAAGAAAAGACAAATTGGGACCAGCAGCTGACGTAATGGCTATTTCACTGGACTCCCAATGTAGTTGTCGACTGTGGTTTGAGTCCAGGACCTGTAGGCTTAAACTCAACGCCTGGCACGTGTGCATGTGTGCTCAAGATCCCTAGAGGAGAATGGAGGAGAAGGGACTGCACCGTGGCCATCCCCCCGGCAGGCGATTTCTCATTTTCTATCTCTCGAAGCGCACACAGCCTATAGCAAAAAACCTCTCAAAATTAAAAAATAATTAAAACAAGCCCCCCTCAAAAAAATGCACACACACTTAAATTCTTCAAAATATATCTATTTATTCCAAATAAATTTATATTGCATGACAAAGCATAGAAATTTCAATGATTAATACTGCACTGACTATAGGGGGAAGTACACTATTTTTAAAACTTCAACACTGGGGACCAGCAGATGGTGTAATGGTTACATCGCTGGACTCCCAAATAGTCAACCATGGGAACTAGCAGTTAACATAATGACTATGTCTCTGACTCCCATGTAGTTGACCACGGTTCAAGTCCTAGACCTGGTGGCTTAAACTCAGGCCGGGTTTGTGTGTGTGCATGCCCAAGATCCCGACAGGAGAATGGAGGAGAGGGGATTGCGGCATGGCTATCCCCCCGGGGGGTGATTTCTCACTTTCTGTCTCTCTGTCTGTCTGTGTCTTCCTGGAGAACATACACACCCTATAGCAAAAACTTCCCAAAAAAAAAAAAAGTCAACCATGGTTTGAATCCTGGACCTGGCAGCTTAAAATCCACGCCAGAAGCATGTGTGTGCATGCTCAAGAACCCAAAAGGAGAATGGAACAGAAGGGATTTCGGTTTGGCCATTCCCCCTGGGAGTGATTTCTCACTTTCTGTCTCTGTCTCTCCAGTGAACACACATGTCCTATAGCAAAAATCTCTTTTAAAAAAAAAACCAAAAACTGGGGACCAGCAGTTAGCGTAATGGTTATGTCGCTAGACTCCCACGTAGTCGAGCGCGGTTCAAGTCCCAGACCTGGTGGCTTAAACTCACGCCAGGAGCGTGTGCATGCGTGCCCAAGATCCCAAGAGCAGAATGAAGGAGAAGGGATTGCAGTGTGGCCATCCCCCCAGGGAGTGATTTCTCGCTTTCTGTCTCTCTGTCTCTCTCTGTCTGTCTGGCGAGCACACGTGCCCTATAGCAAAAACCTCTCCAAAAAAAACCAAGAAACAAAAAAAACTTCAGCACCTAAAATGTCTATTAATCTTCAATATCAGCAATTTCTTCTACTTATCATATATACTGGGCTTTAAAACAAGAGATCCCTTTGTGGTTCATAAACATGACTAGGTTTTCACACTACTGTGTGAGATATGCCTCCCTCAAACCTTGTTAAAACATCTGCACATTACTCATCTGACATGGAAGGGAAAAAAAAATAAGAGGAAAGGAAAACTAGAGGTAGAAAACATATACACCATCTCAGAGAGCTTATAACTGATATTCTCAACCTATTTTCATATATACTATGTAAATAGATACTAACTTTGTGAACTGGCTCCATTGCCTAGTGGTTAAGGTAGCCAGATCCCAAAAAGCCAACTGTGCAGTTTGAATTCAGCCCCTAGCAGCATGAAAAACATGCCAGGTGCACATACATACATGCACAAAACCCCAACAGGAGGGAGAAATGGAGAAGGAATTGTGGTGTGACCACATCCCATTGGGAGGTACTTTCTCCCTCCCTCCCTGTCTGTCTGCCTGCCTGACTGGTAAGTACATATGCCCTCTAAAAATAAAAATTTTTTTAAATTAAAAAGAGAGAGAAATTTGCCAAGGCTATATAACTCCCTCAATGTCACACTGCTAGAAAGTATAAGACCTATGGGACCAGCAGTTAGCGTAATGGCTATGTTGCTGAACTCCCGTGTAGTCGACCGAGGTTCGAGTCCCGGACCCGGGAGCTTAAACTCATGCCAGGGGTATGTGCGTGCCTAAGATCCCGAGAGGAGATTGGAAGAGAAGGGATTGCGGCGTGGCCATCCCCTCTGGGGGGTGATGGGGGGTGATTTCTTGCTTTCTGTCTGTCTCTGTCTTCCTGGCGAGAACACACACCCTAGAACAAAAAAAAAAAAAAAAAAAAAAAGAAAAGAAAAAGAAAGTCTAAGACCTAGTATGCCACACACCAAGAGTTACAACTATTCCATTATACCTTAAAGATTCATTTGTTTCTATCAAATATTTATTGAATATCCACTATATTCTAGGAACTACGCTAAGCATTGGGAATCTACTAGAGCTCATACATTAGCTAAGTCAGTAGAAGGTACCTGAAAAACTAGGAATTTTTAAAGAGTTACATATATGTTAGACAATACTCTTGGATCACTGGAAAAGTAATGATGCGTCACTGGAAAAGGAATGATGCATTATTGCATAGAAAAACACACCATGACTTTTCTGGTGACCCAATACTTCTAAGAGTAGTATTACTGTAAGTATTAGTAGTGGTAGTAATATACAGATCTTGGGCTATTTTAGTATTTTTCTTTATTCATGATAGAATATGTTTGCTTGCATACAAAATATATATACAGAGAAGGAAAAAGAGAGAGAGAGGAGAGAGAGGAGTACCCTCCACAGGGCTTAGGACACTTCTTCCAATCCTCTAACTCATCAAATCCTGGGCACTCACACACGTCTGATACATTTCAGACCAAGCAGGATGGTATTCCAATCGGGCTACCATGTGGCTCCCAACACTGTAGTTCAGCATGCTACCACCCATGAGGACACACATCTCGAAAATTAATAAAAATACTTCTAAAGTGTTAAAATCTATCAAATGCATTTTTGTTTTTTATGATTGTAAACTCTTTAAAGGCAGAAGCCACATGTATTTTTGCATTTCTCTTAGCACTTAGGAATGAGCTTTGTACTTGACCATATCCAAAATGTATGTGTTAAATATACAGAAGCATCGTATCACCTGGCTCTCACTTCCTTCTCCAACCGGATTTGTAGAAACAGGTTTGTTGCCCAGAGAGGACAGAGAGAATGCTGGCAATCTCTTTGGGAAAACTAACCACTAGCCTAAGAAATAACTTGTAAATCCTCAAGAGAAGTTACAAGAAATAACTTGTAATCCTCATGGCAAGAGAACTACCCAATATGCACACAATCATGCACCGTAAGTTTTCTGTCAGTCTTTTGGTGTCTTTCCATTCATACTATGTCTACTACATAGAGGTATGACAGAGTATTCCCCAATGTACACAAGGGGAAGTCTATATCACCTCCATTATGAACTCAGGCAGACTTTTGTGGCTCAGTGACTTATGAGGCCAGGTTGTAAAAGAAGATACAATGTCACCTTGGTTTGTATGGGGATACTTAGCCTTGGAACCTAGCCACCAATCTCTAAGGAAGCCCAGGGTACAGGTGGAAAAGAACCAAGGTCCCAGTTCCCAGTCCCTACCCCTCAGCCCTGGCAGAGGCCCAGCTGGCAGCCAGCATTAGCGTGCCAGATATGTGAGAGAGCTAACTTCAGTCCAGCCACCCCCAGCCGACTCTGCAGGGAGAAATCTCTGCCAAGCCCTGCCCAAATTACAAATTTGTGAACAAAATAAATGACAGTTATTGTTTTAAACCATTATGTTTTGGGAAGACTTGTTACACAGCAGTTGATAACTAGAACACAAACCAATATACTTGCAGATACAATAAAAGTGACTGGAAGGCTGGCTCTGTGGCCTGGCAGTTAAGGTGGCGGGTTACTACATGGCCAACTGTGTGGTTTCAGTCCTATATCCACACAGGGAACACAGATTTTGCATGCCCAAAATCTTGAAGGAAGGGAAAGATGGAGGAGAAAGGACTGCGGTATAGCCACTCTGCACTGAGGATGTTTTCTCTTCTCCCCCTTCTCTGTTTCTCTCTGTCCAGCACATGTGTCCTCTAGCCAAAAAAAAAAAAAAAAAAAAGAGAGAGAGAGAGAGAGAAAGAGAAGGAAAAAAGAACTAGAAAATACAATGTAGATATTGTACAAAATAAAAGACCCAATGGTTACCTCGCGGGATTCCCACATGGTCCACCCAGCGGTTTAAAACACACCTGGGCGTGTGAGTCCACACTCAAAATCCTGAGAGGAGAATGGAGGAAAAGGGACCATAGCACAACCATGTCCTCCGGAGGGTGACTTCCCACTCCCATCTCTCAATTTCTGTCTGACTCTTTTTCTACATTTTTCTATGCAAAAATGAATCATGGCTTTCCTGGCAACCCAATAGAAACTTTGACATATGATGCCCTTTTGGGTTTTTTTTCCCCACAGCATAGACATTCCTACCATCAGAGTTGGGGGGGAAGGGGCCCATTTCATTTCTCTTAAATATGGAGGGGGAGGCAGAGACCTGAGACCACTTTGACCAACAGAAGATAGCATATGTGCCTCTCCATTCTGGAACTGCATCAGAAAGGCCTTTTAACTTCTCTCTGGCTCTCTTGGAAGCTTCTTTTCAGAACCGAGTTAGCACGCTGTATATAAAAAGCCCTGGGCCATATGGAGAGACCATACCTAAGTGATCGACAGTCCCAAATGAGCTAGTCTATGTTTGCAAATGTACAGGTAGGAGAAGATATTCTCAGAAAGAATGGGGCCAGCAGATGGCATGGTGGTTAAGGCGCTGGACTCCCCCACATGGTTGACCCCAGGACTCCAGGTCAAGTCCTAGACCTGGCGGCTTGAAACTCACATCAGGCATATGTGTTCGTGCCCAAAATTATAAGAGAATGGAGAAGGGATTGCAGCGTGGCCATCCCCCCAGGGGGTGATTTCTCGCTTTCTGTCTGTGTGTGTGTTTACTTATTAAACACAAAAACAAGTAATTCTGGAGGTAGAATCTCTATCCTCCAAGTGCTCCAACCCAGCCATTCCCAACAGAACCAGTAGACATTGTGGAGCTGAACAGTATTACGCCTGTGTCCTGTCTGAATTCCTCACTCACAGCATCTGTAGGTAATAAAATTGTAGTTGGTTTATGCTTCCAAGTGTTGGTGTGGTTTGTTGCACAACAATAACAACCAGAACATCTCACATCTGTAACTTAATTCTTAAAATAATGACAGTCACTATTTTAATCCCCTCAGAAGGACTAAGTGGTCTGCCTAAATTTATACAGGCAAAAGTTACACAGTAGCACCTGAATCCAGATTTAATCTCAAAGATGATACTGTTACCACCAGACCATAATGATTTCTAATTCCTCAGGCTGAAATTACTAATTGTTCTTTTCCATATCAATCACAAAAGCACTTAAATTCATTGAAGATATAAATGAAAAAGAGATTAACTATTAATGAGGTTTGTAAATCTTAAACTTGATTCACTCTGTTTTCTCAATCTCTACCTCAACACTCCCCCAAGAGCTTTCTGACTGCACCGGTGGCTTCCAAGATGGTGCTGCAGAAAGACAAGAAGCCTAAGAGGTCAACCTGGAAGTTTAATTTGGACCTTACTCATCCAGTAGAAGACAGAATTTTTGACTCTGGAAATTTTGAACAGTTTCTGCGGGAAAAGGTTAAAGTCAATGGGAAAACTGGCAACCTTGGAAATGTAGTTCACATTGAACACCTCAAGAATAAAATCACAGTTGTTTCTGAGAAACAGTTCTCTGAAAGGTATTTGAAATACTTCACCAAGAAATACCTTAAGAAAAACAACCTTCGTTCTTGGCTTCATGTGGCTGCATCTGACAAGGAGACTTACAAACTTCGTTACTTCCAGATTAGTCAAGATGAAGAAGGATCAGAGTCTGAGGATTAGTTGGAGCCTGCCTTATGGGGCTTTGCTCACGTAAATCATGCAGGATACATGAGAAAGAATCATCTGGAAATAGGCTTTTAGTTTATTAATGAATAAAAATCACTGCTTGTAAAAAAGAAAAGAAAAGAAAACAACAACAACAAAACACTCCCCCAAGAAAATCTGAGGAAAAAAGAAGTCACAACCACATACATTGAGATGTGTGCTACAATAAGGGCAGCGAGAATAACTCACTGCTTAGATATGTTGTTGCTATTACTAGAAAAAGGATTACAGGTAGACTAAGGATCAGTATCAGAGCTGTAGTTGTTTTGTTTAGCATACCCTATTCTTTCTAACTTCTAACAGCCTCCTAAGTTTCTAAGTCGATATCCAGATGGAGGGACCAGCAGTTGGCGTAATGGCTATGTCGCTGGACTCCCATAGAGTTGACTGTGATTTGAGTCCCGGACCAGGTGGCTTAAACTCACATTGGGTGCGTGTGCAACCAAGATCCTGAGAGGAGAATGGGGGAGAAGGGACTGCGGCGTGGCCATCCCCTTGAGGGATGATTTCTCGCTTTCTCTGTCTTTCTGGCAAGCGCATGTGCCCTATAGCA